TTGCTGTGTGGTACAGTATATTTTATTGGTACAGTATATTTTATTACTGGTGCAATAAAATGGGCTTTTCTGTGAAAGTAATCAGTTCCTAGAGCAGCTGCAATTGGACACTAAGTAGTGTCCATTCAGCCATTGATTTGCTTTTGTTAACTTGTGGCTAGGACTTTTAATATCTTTTAAATATAAGGTAGTATAAATAGATGGGTCTCAAGCAAGATGTAATTTATCATGGATGCTTCTGCAGATCGATACACAGAAGAGGGAACTGTATTGTGTATAGGGGATTTTTGACCAAACCTGCATAGCATTGTGCTGCATATCCAACAACTACTGTAACTGGTTATATTATATGCCTTGCAGTCCTGTTCATAGCTGCTTAAAAGTAATTTCCATTAACTTACTCTTAGGTGAGAATAGCAGTCAGGTTTGCCTTTTATTTTGTCCTTTTTTTTTTTGTCTTCATATTGTCTATAAAGCCACAGGGGTGTAGAGGTGATTGGTGAGGTTCACTGCATTGGGGGGGTTCTATTTGGGGTAATGGTGGTTTCAGGCAAAATGACCACGTTAAGCTAGAAGAGCTAGCTTAGCTGTTATTTCATTAAAAGGCAGTGCACCACAGAAAATTGTAATTTTGCTCCTGAGGATCAGTAGCACAATCTTGGAGAATGCCAGGAGCCATAAAAGTAGTCAGTAGATGTTATAGGTTGCCCACTTCTGTCTTAAAGAATAGTGTAACTTTTTGAAATTGGAAATTGATCATTCCTGTCAGCCTTTTGGGGTAGACCATATCAGGAAATTGACTCCACAGGAAGACTATACTTTATTGAAACCGGCTATAATAACAGAATCTTGCAAGCCTGTGCATTACCTTTCCTCCTTCTTATATCCCAGTGAACTGGGAAGGGGCCTACCTGAGCTTCTTCCAAATACTACCTTGTTTCCCAGACCTTAAGGAATGTTTCAGCCTTCTTTGCTTATATAATGATTCTTGCCTACAGTATTTCTTTCAAAGTCATCTTCCTGATTGCTTCTCTACAATTCCAGAGATCACAGAGGTGTCCTGATGAGTTTTCTGGTCATGCGTCAAAGTCCCAGATTCTGGGTTTATAATATTTGCTATAGCTGTTCATTCCTGGGAACTATTTTATGTCAGTGGAGTATTATATATAAAGAGGACCAAATACAAACTCTAATATTTATACGTTTGATTAGTCCTCTGATGGGAAATACTAGTATAAAAAATACTAAATAACAACATTAAAAGGAAATAGGAATACATTTAAAAGGAAGAAATGTAAAGGTGGGAAAGAGAGTCATATCAATTAGATATATATATAATGTAAGGGAGACATACATCAACCTTACTGTGTATGATAAAAGCATGTTGTAATCCCTTAAGAATATTTCAGCTGCAAAATTACTTGTGATACATTTTCCAGATATGAGCCTAATTATTTGGAGAATGGCTTATCTTGAGATATTGATCCATAAGAAGACTTAAACTTAGAAAACAAATTTCACACTTATTAAATAGGTTGATTGTTTATATACTGTTAGAATATAACCAGCTTGTACAGCAGAAAAATGATAAACACAAATTCGGTATTTATATTTAAAGTTTTTAAAAGTAAGTGATGTGTTCAGTGTTCTGGAGGGATTATTTTAAATGGAAAAAAAAATAATAAAGCTGATTCTTTCTCTTCCCTATACCCTCAGGCTACATGAATATGGTAACTAGAAATACATGCTGCTTGTGAAAACAGACCTTTGATGATAATCCTTTTGACTCATTGAGCCCAGCTTGGCCGAAGGCCTACTGAGCAGATAATTTGTAGCCTGGGAAGTGGTATGCCAGAGGAAGGAAGTTCAGTCAGCTAGCGCTACGTGCCCTTACATTTTCCTTGCCACTTCTAAAACCTCTTTTGCAAGCCCCAAATACTGTAGCTCTGGACTGTCAAATATAGGGTATAGTTGCAAACAGTTTCTTTTCTTTGCCCTAATTGTGTATGTCAATGGGATTTGGCTGGCCTCTGTTGGAAAAAAACCCAACTTTCAACTCATCCAGAAAAATAGTACTTGTATTGATGGTTTATAGTATGACCCAAATTTTCTTTGATTTTGCTGTTTTCAATTATATATACATTTTAGATGAATCTTTAGAGAATGAGTAAATGCTTGATTTTTTTGTTCTTACATGTTGCCATTGCCTTTTATGATGCAGCTGATGACTCAAGGATTTCTAAATCTTATATTATAGGATGTTTAATGTGGTTGCCATTTGAAGCATTTAGAGAGAAACCCTGTATTTAAGTTAAAAGTAGAAGAACCTTAGAGGTAATTGGCATCATCTGTTGCCAGCCCATTACACTAATATTATGATAGCATTTTACATGGTATTTGGTATAGAATTGGAATTTTGAGTAGAAATAGAGATCTTACATGCTTTTTAACTGTGATCCTCTGTGTGTGTGTGTGTGTTTGTGTGTATGTAAATAACTTGTACATAAGAGCTGATCATGAGTAAATCTTTGTGAATTACAATATACTCAGAGGCTAGAGTATAACAATTTCTAGCAATACTGAAGGAGACATGGAGTTAATATTAAATATAGTGTTCATGGCTGACTTAAGAAGCCAAGTTAAGTTTTAGAAATAGATGTCCAACCTTTCAAACTTTGCAGAATAATCCTGTCATCACTCCTGTGGCTTTTCTTCATTAAATAACAATATCATTCAGTTGATTTATTGGTCACTAGTCCTAATTTAATTAGTATAAATTCCCCTGGGCATGGATGCCAGGTGACCCCATTTTATGTGCTATTTGTGTGGTTGGAGCTAGGCTATGGGCCTCAAGAGCTATTTATATTTGTACTATTTTCTGCTATTGGGTGGTGATACAAATTAATTTGATAAATCAATTTATAAATAAATAAATGAGTAAATTGAAGATTTTAATATGTCATTTCAGGTCAACTTCCACAAAGAGTTGTAATTGTTTTATGTTGTTTGATCATTGTGTTGTTAATGTTTGTGTAGTATTCTTGTGAAGAATCAGCTGTAGCTGATTTCCCCCTTGCTGCTTCAAAAGAAGAGAAGCTCCTAGTAACATCTTAAGAAATATCTATTCCCCAAACTGCAGTGCCGGGGAAGTATTATTTGTATTATATCCCTAATATTTGCTTCTTTTCTCTTAAGTTAAGACATAGTTCTTAGGTTATTTGTCTGCTTGTATTAAAACTAACTACATATTCTAATTGTTTGTTTTTAAAAGTTCACATCTTTTAATTGTTGCATGATATGTCCTCTGGCTGTCATTTAAATCCCATATGATCCTGGGAAAAGATATAGCTGCTTTAAAGAGTGGAGGACAAGTATGCTCGCACTCCACAGAGGATCTTTTTGGAACCAGAGCTTAAGCACAGGATAGCCGTGATATTTATGCCCTCATTTCTGCATGTGTCCATACAGCTTTCAGTTTCAACTGTTTTGGCTTATGTGTTCTAGAGCTGTCTGTATTCATTTGAGCAAGTTAGTCAGATATTGGATGGGGTATTTTTTTTTTTTCAAAAGAGAAACTAAGAAACAAGAGCTGTGCTGGATCATATTCAAGATCTGGTGAATGTTTTGTTTCTGCAGCAGCCGGCTGTGTGCTTCTGGGAATCCCAGAACTGAATGCAAGTGCAGTAGTACCTCTCATACTGATAGCCTTATTACTTGTGATCCTATATATAACCATCGTTAGCCATTTTTAGTCACTGAAACTTCATTTGGATAGGACATTCTGTATTCTGATAGGGCAGAGTGCATCCTGTATTTACTGAGAATGCTTGCTTTTCAAAATTCTTGTGGATTCTTTTATAAAGATGGCAAAATACCATTATTTTAGTTTTTAGAATTGTCATCTTATTTGTCTACGGCCTTGAGAGTCATTTTATATTGTTGAGAATTAGGGTTGCTGGCAAAAATGAATATGGGACCAGAGCTCTGCAGCAGAATTCATACTTCACAGGCAGAAGCACAGTCCCTAGCATCTCCAGTTAAAAGAATCAAATACAATATGATTGGATGGTTCTTTGCCTGAGACTTTAGAGAGCAGTCTCCCCCAAGTTGCTGATTTCATCTCCTTGACTTCCCATCCAGCAGGGGTGATAGCCATGATAGCAGGGAAGATGGGAGTTGATTTCCAACACATCTGGAGAACATTAGATTGGGAAAGGCTGGGCTAGATGAATAAATAATCACTTCTGAGATAGTTTCCTATATTCCTAGAAATATAGGGATGAAAGAAATTACTGGCTTCAAACAAGTTAGGTACCATTTTCTTAATTCATGTTTAAGGAAAAATAAGCAGGAGAAACATTGATCTTTCAAAAGTATTTTGCTAATTTTGTTTTGATGAGGTTTCGCTGCCCCAGTTTTTGAAAGCACTTCATGTATAAAAATTTTAAAACAGCCTGTACTGAAGCTGTTTTTTTAAAAAAAAATCACTAAGAGACTTACAATATTTTATTCTACCCCAGTCTTCCATAATTGTTGGAACTGCTGTTGCCTTCTAGTCATTTCAGGCCAATATTGGGTATGCTGTCTGGTAAATTCTGGGGATTGTAGCCTTTACTTGACTACAGGCACTGGGCTGGGAAAGATTGCTTAAACCAGATGATTAACTGCTTGTTCAAATTACACCTTAGCAACCATCTGGCTCTTAGGTTGTTCTCTTAACTAGTACACTGTTCTGGAGTCTCATTTAATTTCATGCATCATCATTTAAAATACATGCAATTTTATATAATGCTCAATATGAAAGTATTTATTTGTAAACCCACAGCAAATCCAGCCAACTAAAAAATTAACAAACTGACTGAGGATTAAGATCTGGTTAAAAGATTAACCAGATGGAGTAAAGACTAAAAATAAATATGCATGGTTTACATGGAGTAGTTCACACACACACACACACACACACACACAAATAGAAATAAAATGATTTCTGCAGGCAGTGGTTAAAAAAATATTTACTGTTTTATAATGTTAAAATGTTTCAGTGAAATAATTGCAGGCTAAAATAATGTCAATATTAAAAATATAAATACATAAAGTTGCATTTATACAGGTGCAAGTCTAAGTATCTAACAGAAAATATACTTAATTGAACAGATAATACAATAAGTGCACAATTCATGTGATTAAAGAGACAAACCAGCAAGTTAGTTTTGTATGCTCTTATTGACACATGCAAAGAACTTGCCCCAAATTCTCATTAAGATTGTCCCAAAAATAGTCTTCCTGGGAAGGAAAGCATACATTTGCGATAGTGATATGTATGTCAGCAGAACGAGGAAAAGTCAGTGGTAGACACTACTTACTGTAATTTGTGACTGTCGGGGGAGAGTAGTTGCTGTTGGTGTAATAGTGATGCTGCTGGTGATTTTGTTGATAGATTTACTTGGTGTTCCATTAGGAGTTCTGTTATCCTGCATGGGAATGCAAGGGTTACTGTTTTTTACAGAATTAGGAATACCTTGTGCATAAGGATTTCCTAAATGAATATGTATTTTATTATCCTCAGTAGTTATTACACTAGAGCTAGAACTGTTAGATCTTTGAAACTGCCAAGATGATTGCCTTTCAGGGGATACTTTAAAAACAGTATGCTTGTCAGCCACTTCCAGGGGCTCTGGTGAAAGTAACCGCTCAGGGGAACTTGCAGTTGTCAAAGCCAAAGGAGACATTGTTCTTTCAGATATTACAGAACCACATAATTCAGGTGCTTGAGATCTAGCAAAAGTGGTCACGGTAAGAGGTGCAATGGCTTGCTCTTGACTTGAGTAGCCATCAGGTACTTTAGATTTTATAGGAGTTAATGATTCATTTTGAATTATAGTTATCCTTTGCTTTGAAGTGCCACAATTGGGTATTACAGCTGTACTAGTAAAGGAGTGAGAACTCTCTGAAGTTGGGCTTGTTATTTCAAGCATGGCTGTGTTTTGCTCATGATCTGGAGTAACCTTTATATGAAGAGGCTGGCCTGGTGTGTGGCTTAAAACTAAATTTCCAGGCTGAATACAATTCCCGTTCTGCTTGGCATAAATTCTTCCATTTTGAATGTGGCTTTCTTTGGACTTCATCCAGGGGATCCAAAGTTTGCTGTTATTTACTACATTTGCAACAGAAGAATTGCACTTGAAGGAAACCATTGGTTCATCATCATCATCATCATCATCACCATCATCATCATCATCACTTTCTTCATATAAATGTCCATTTATGACAGCCCTTTCCAAAGGAACTAGACTCTTGTAATCAGGTGGTTCATTGTCAACTGGTTCTGTTTGGACTTCCTTGGAGGCAACTTGTAAGTCAGAAATTCTCCTTCCATTGAGACTTGGTCTGAGGCTTTTACTGAAATGTCTGTACCTCTCCAGTTCTTTGTTAAGGGTTTCCATTTCTCTGCCTAATTCTTTGTTTTTATTTTCTTGGTGAGTAAGTTTCTTTTGCAAGATTCTGTGGTCTTCTCTTAAATGACATATTAAATCTTCTGTTGCCATATATTCATGGATTTTCTCTTTCAGTGCATCTACTTCCCTTGAAAGATGACCTGACTTGGCTGTTTCTTCCTTGAGTTTTCTGAATAATCTCTGCTCGTGGTTGCATTCTGTCTTTTCTGCTAACTTATACCGTGCCAGTTCTCTCTTTACTATCTCAAGTTCCTCTGATAAAAATCTGGCTTTGTCTTGTTCATTAACATATCTGCGTTCTAAAGATTCAAATTCATCTTCAGTTTTCATGAGATCATCTTCTATGGCCTTCATTTCTTTAAGTTTATGTTTCAGCTTCTCAATTTCCTGGACTAGTTCTTTAATCTTGTTGTTTTCTTGCTGGAAAGTTGGGTTAGGTTTTGTTGTCTCCTTAAGTTTATTTTTAAGAAATTCTTTTTCTATGGCTTCCAAGGACTGAAGCTTTTTTCTTAGCAGATTCATCTTAGATGAGAGATCATTTCCTTTCTCCTCCTCTGTTTTCAGTTTGTTTTTCAATTCATCTCTCTCCCTTGTGAGGTTGGACATTTTTTCCTCAGCATCATTTTTAAATTTTAATGCTTTCTTACTCTCTTCAATCAATTTTTCTGTGACTGACATAACTTTTTTTTGTTCCAACTGAAGCTGTAAATTTGCAGTCTGTACCTTTTCTTCTGTTTGCTTTATTTTTTCATTCATACTTTTTTTTGTTCCAACTGAAGCTGTAAATTTGCAGTCTGTACCTTTTCTTCTGTTTGCTTTATTTTTTCATTCATACTTTTTTTTGTTCCAACTGAAGCTGTAAATTTGCAGTCTGTACCTTTTCTTCTGTTTGCTTTATTTTTTCATTCATACTTTTTTTTGTTCCAACTGAAGCTGTAAATTTGCAGTCTGTACCTTTTCTTCTGTTTGCTTTATTTTTTCATTCATTGTTTTCCTCTCATCTACAAGCATTACAGTTAATGATTTCAGTTTAGACAAATCTTCCTTAAGCGTGAACTCTGTTTTTTCTAATTTATTCTCAGTGGTTTCAAGCTCTCCTATGCGAACTTTTAGGCCATCGAGTTCCTGTGATAGCTGCTTTGTTAACATTTTTTCTTTTTCTAGGTTACATTTTAAAGAGCAGCATTCCTGCTTGCTCTTGCTGAAAGCATCCTCCAGTTTATCAAGCTCCATAATTCTCTTGTTGAGTTTATCAACTTCTACTTTAAAATTTTTACTTTGTGTGACTTCTTTTTCTAGCCTCTTATGAAGTTCTCGGCATTGCTCTTCCAGTTTTATGAGTTCCTCATCTTTTCCTTCCATCTCTAGGACTCTTTTCCGGAGCACCTCCACTTCAGACATAAGGGTAGAGTTTCCACATTCCCCTCTGTTGATTTTCTCTCTTAGATCTTGCAGTTCTTCTTCTGCCTTTCTTAAGGACTTGTTAGTTTCTTCAAGTTCATCAATCTGTCGACTAAGAACTGTTAATTTTAAGCGGAGCTGACGATTTTGGCTCTCTTCATTGGTTAATTTGGCCATTGTAGCTTCCTGTTCTTGAGATATCTTTCTAATTTGTGCTTGAAGTTCTTCTTCCAACCTGAGAGCTTTCTGCTCCTGTTCTTGGGCTTTTGATTCTGCAATGGAGAGTTTTTCATGTGCTTGTTCTGCAGTGGTGGTTAAATTCTGGATTTGTTGAGTTTGCTGGCTCAGCTCTTCCGTTAATCGTTGTTGTTCATCCACTACCATTAAAGTGAATGATTTGAGTTTTGTTAGCTCCTCCTTCAGTTTGTTTATTTTCTTGCAGTTTTCCTTTTCTCTTTTTGCTTGATAAACTGCATCTTGTTCAATTAGCTTTTTCAATCTGAAAGAAAATGAAATTCAGTTGTAAAAGTACTTAGAATATTAATAAATAATTTTATGCTACACTAGGAAATAAAAACATCCAGAAGAAGGCAATGGCAAACCATAACATTACCAAGAAAGCTACATGGATGTTACCATTAAGTCTTCAGAAATCAACCTCAATTTGAAGGAGACTGTACCTTATAGCTATATACAGTATATATATATATATATTTTGAAAATTTCAGAAACA